GTTTCCGTGTCGTGGATGGAGTCGTTCTGGCTATCGTCCGACACGTGGAACGAGTCCAGGGATATGTTGCTGATATCGCTGGCAGCGGTGTGCTGGAGCAGAAGCGGTTCGGCGTCGGCCGCGGGCTGGTCACACGTGGCGTTCTGGGCGAGGGGGCCAGCTGGCGGTGGTAGGTTTAGCGGTTCCTTCGGTGCCGCGGCGAGCTCCGCCTCGACAAGCGGCTGCAGGTCTGGCGGGTGGTGCAGGATCGCATCCGCGAGATACGCCAGGGCGTCTTGGTCGGGCGGAGGGAGGCCTCTTGGCAGCAAGGCGTGGGCCCGTGAGAGGTATGGCGGCAGTGGTGCCGCGAAAGCCTCAGGGCCGACGAGCTGGGCACGAGCGCACTGGTATTCCAGAAGGAGGCCAAGGTAGCGGGTGGGGTACTCGTGGCTGCCCTGAATACGAGTGAGGTTGCGGTTGGTGCGCTGTCTGTCGGGGCCCGCTCTGTGCCAGATATCCTCGCACATGTCGAACGCGGTGCGGTGGCGCAGGGCGTCGTTTTTCTCCGCGGAATCCTCCTGGAAAAAGTGGTCGTACTGTGGCAGATGGAGCGTCGCCAGGACGTGCGGGACGCAGTCCTCGAGCCATGCCCAGTACACGTCCTGATGGTCCTCACCTGGTGCCCACGCCGCGGCGCACGGTATGAGCCGTGCTCGGATGTTCATCAGGTGCCAGAAAGCGGGGTCCTCCTCGGGTTCACCCCTGGCGCACAGAGGGGTAGTGGGACTCGTGGGGCTGAAGCGGGGCACGACAGCGGGGCTGAAGCCGCCACTGCGTGCCTGGGCCTTGCCAGCGGCCCTGTCGAGGATATGCTGCACGACGGTCGAGGACAAGCTGAGGACAGGGTACCATCGAGGATATGCTGTACGACAGTCGACCGCAAGCGTCATGTTGAGTGATGGTAGCCCTCGTAGCTGAACTTGCATGCGGTGCGAGGCGTGGCCGGAGGACGCAGGAGTCATCTCAGCTGCGGCAACATCGGTGGTCGACTGCGATGCATGTGTCGTAGTTGACGAGGGCGTGCTCGTAGGAGACATGCTGGTACTCGTCGTAGACGTCGTAGTAGCCGTCGAAGTCCCAGGGGGCAGCGCGTGGGGCGGGGCCCCTGGTGCTGCTCAGGCCAGGCGCTCGCGGGGGCGCCCAGCGGCCCGGTGCCGCACGGACCAGCGGCGGCGGTGCTGTTCACGATCGGGTCCAAAAATGGCGCTGTGATCGTATTTGTAGATGCTGTCATCGTAAAGGTAGAAGAGCGTCCCACGCTCCGCATGTCGCAGGAAAGCCTCTCCTCCGTGCTGGGGCGCACCGCCTGAAGACGGGCGTGCTCCAGCCAGCGAGGGGAGGGCCCGGCCGCAGGCAAGGCGCCGCATGATGGCGAGGCCTGGCGGGCGGCGCGAGCGATGAGCCGAAAGCTGCGTGGCAGCACACGTCCTCAAATACCCCTGAATGCTCATGTACATTGCAACAATCACGCCCCCTGCAAGACTACGGGTGTCCCTACACCAGATAGCTTGCGCGTGCCGCTGCCAAAACAGACATGAGGTAACAAGAAAGAGATGCGACGCGAAGTGGGGAGCGATGCCTCTGAAGGCGCTTCCTCGGAGGGCTGAGGCGGGCTCTCTGAGGCACCTTCAATAGGGTTCCTGGGTGGCCCGACCCTTGTCCTTGCCTTTGTCGGCCCCTGGGGGCCCCGTCCCTGGGGTAGCCTGGCCTGGCTGGTCGATCCAACTGCAGGCTACCACGGGTTCGGCGGCCGCTGCGGCTTCCTCCTTCTTAGTTTCCAGAGTGGCCGCTTGTGGCAGGTGGATGGTGCCTCCCGTGAGGTGCCCGAGGAGGGTCTGGATGTCGCCGCGCCGTGCAGCGGCGTCGGCGGTTGCCGTCTGTTGCTGGGTGACGACGGTGGCAAGCCCCCGTTCCAGCCCTGAAACGTGCTCCGTGAGTGTGGCCTGGGAGGAGAGAACGCCCGCAAGCTGCACTTGCATGTTATCCACCGTGTTGGCTAGCAGCTCGTGCTGCTGTTCCATGTGCTGGATGCGGGTCGTGGCAGCATCAGGCGGTTTAGAGGCCGATGCGAAGCGCTCGCCGAAGGTGTTGAGTTCGTGGGAGGCCACGCTGTATTCATTACCTGATGAGAGGATCTCGACGTCGACGACGTCACCTGGTACTTCGGCGGCTGTGGCAGCGTCGCCTTCGGTGTGGCCCCCACCTTCTGCCGCCGCCGTGCCAAGCCAGGGGTCGTGGCCACCTGGTCCTGGGGCGGCCGTCGGTTCAGCGGCTCCGTCCGCGCCGTGCGGGGGCGCAGAGGAGCTGCGGCCTGGGGCGCAGGGTGGCCTTGCGTGCGGCGTGGCGTCACGTTTCCCGCTGGAGGAGCGGTGGCGCTTGGCTGTAGGCTCCTCCTTGGGGGTCAGGAGCGGTGCGACGCCCTTGCCTTTGGGCGTGGCAGTCATGAGGTCGTGGAGGTAGGGGCTCTGGGCCGCTTTGGTGAGGAAAGTGCCGGTGGCGGGGCTAAAGCCGCCACCACTGGCTGGCGGCGTCACAGGCTCTGTGATGGTGGTAGGCGTGACGATGGTAACGTTGTCCCGCTTCGGCGCCACCTCAGCCAGCGGGGCCTCGGTGATGCTCCACGGGATGGGGCACCCCACGACCTGCACCGTATAGGTGAGTGGGGGCCGATGAGCGCGCACTAAGGCAAACTGGGCCGCAGGGGCTGGGTCCCAGGCGGTGTGGTAGACCTCACAGTCCCATTTAACGGACGGGCCCGTGAGAGTCTTGGCGAGCTGGGTCAGCGTGGCGTGGCGTGCCGCAATGCCAGTGATGCGGTAGCGCGTCTTGGCGAGGGTAGCCTCGCAGCCGCGGATGCTGACAGCAGCGGCCTTGGCGACGTCGGACCCCCGCGGAGCACGGATCCCCAGCAGGCCTGACTTGCCGTGCCTGACGACTCCCAGGGCCTTGAACTCCACCGACTTCTGGAACGCGTCTGCCATCGTGATGGGCTGGTCCTCAGGGAACCAAACGGTCTGATACTTGTCGGCGGTGGGCTCGTCTGCACCTACATTGCTGAGGTCGTAGGTGGCACCGAGTTGCCCGGATCCCGCCAGGACCTTGTCGACCGCTTGGAGACTGACGCCGAAGGTGGCAGCCAGGGACCTCTTTCCGACGCCCGATCCAAACCTGCCTAGGCTTTTGCAGGGTTCGAGGATGGTGACGGCTTTAAAGTTGCCGTGGAAGAGGGCCTTGAAGGTGTCCTGGAGCTGGCCAACGAGCTCCTGGCGGCGAGCGTCTTTCTTGGACTCCTTGTGCTTTTGGCGCGCCTTGTCCTGTGGAGCGGAGTCGCCTCGAAAAGGGCCCTTGGCGCGTGGACCACCGTTCACGGGGGCACCTCCCGAGAACTGGTCCTCGAAGGCCTGGTGCGTGGAGGGGACTGTGGCAATGGCCTCGGTCTCGTGCATGGTCGCCCGAATCCAGCAGACGTGGTCGGCGGGGTCGATGGTGGCGACGGCTACCTTTTCCGTGCAGGCGACCTCCTTGGTGCCCAGCTGGTACACGATCACGGGGGCGTGCGTGTGGACCACTTTGGGCGCCTTGGGGTGGCGCTTCAGGACGGGGACGGCGAGCTCGGTACCGACGTAGTTGTCGTTTTTCGGGCCCATGACAGCAATCGCGAGCTGGCCCGTGGCTCGCTTGCCCTGCTCGAGGTGGTGCTGCAGCAGCCGTTCACCACTCTCGTAGTCGTGGAGGCTGATGCTGGGCTTGTACGTCTTGCCGTCGTCAGTCGAGGTGGGTTCGGCAAGGACAGGGACCTTCCAAAAGGCAGGGTCCAAGGCGATGAATTGGGTGTCCACAGCCTGAAGACGTGCGGAGCCCGCTGGTGGATGCGATGTGTCACCGCCAGTGCGCTTAGGCTTGCTGCGCTGGTGGTGATCAAGCGTGTAGCTAATCTGGTTGGCGGCGCACATGCGGATAAGGGCGCTGCCAAGCTTCTTCGTGTTGGACTTGTGCATGTCGTACATTGCCTGGAGCTCGTCCGCGAGAGAGAGAGGGAGAGTGAGAGAGAGAGGAGAGAGCAGAGAGAGAATAGAGAGGAGAGAGAGGAGAGAGAGAGAGAGAGAGGCAGAGATAGAGGCAGAGAGAGAGAGGCACAGAGAGAGAGGCAGAGAGAGAGAGAGGCAGAGAGAGAGAGGCAGAGAGAGAGGCAGAGAGAGAGAGGCAGGGAAAGAGAGGCAGAGACAGGGAGAGGGCAGAGAGAGAGCAGAGAGAGAGAGAGAGGCAGCTCAGTCACACTTAAATCCAGATTCGTCCTCACCGAGTCCCACCACCAAGGGAGCGCCAGCAAGGAGATGCACATATGGGGATCCCCACGCAGTGAATAATTGTGTCTACGGGGAAGGCTTCGAAAATGTCTCGGAAAGCACGAGGCCAGCTTGAGCCTTCTGACTACACCCTGCGAAATGCTTAAGAAATCATGGGTTAAGAAATTCATAGTCTCAGAACTTGAACAAAAAACTCAAACTTCCCATTCAAATCGTAGGATTTACATTGAAACATTAAGAATAATCGAGACTCTGGCCGAAGACGTAAGTTTTCTTAAGCATCGCCTAAGGTGTAAGCCCGCCCCCTCTCACTTCCCAGGCTCGCCGTCGAACCGAACCTTACGCGGTGCCTCCCGCGGGCCACCCGCGCGGCACGCTACAGTCGGGGCGTTGACCTAAGGAACCCTAAATAAGGAACGAGGCCCCTTGTTTGCCATAAGTTAAACTTCGATATTTCCGATCGAAAACATAAGGAAAACCTGAGGCAAGCTGCGAAACACTTAAGGAACGCGGAGCCCCTCCCCAACGAAAAGGGTTCCTTCTTCAGGGCCCCGACTGTATACTGGGAACGATAGAGCTCACGGGCGACCTTACGCGGGGAGTCTGCGCGCGAGTGTCGACGGAACGAACACCATCTTTTCCTTCGTCGCTCACCTGGAGGTCCGGCGGGCACTCCCACGTCGTCACGCCGGTGCTGTTGTTGTGGTAGTACGGCAGCCCCGCGGCTGTCTTGTACATCCTCCAGGTGGTGCCAGAAGGTATCGCAGCCTCGTCTCTATCAGAAGGCTAAATGGCCGAAAAATTACCAACAGTGCACCCGAGTGGGACCGAATCCGGCGCCTGGGAGTTGCCCAGGGCACCCAAGCGTGACCGAAATGCTTGGTTCGGACCGATGTGATTTTCAGTTTCGGCCACACAACGTTCTCGCATACATATTCGGACATGTTCTCTGTCGCATATATGTCGGGATCACACACGCACATTGGAGGCCTGGAAATGGGCACCAACACCAACCCAGGAGGTTTGCCTCCATAGGGGGAAGAGGATCCTAGATTTCGGTGTTGGTGGTGAGATTTCGGCCACCTTGGGAGCCAGAATATTACCACCATCACCGAGATCGGGATCTTCTTCCCTCGGCGGAGGGATTCCGCCGATACTAGTGTCGGTGTCAGCCTCTAGGCCTGCGACACACACACACAAACACACACACACACACAAACACACACACACCCCCCAAAAAAAAAAAAAAACCCAAGAAACACACTCCCACCCCACACGCAACGCACGCACGCACGCACGCACGCACGCCGCACGCACGCACGCACGCACAGCACGCACGCACGCCCGCACACACGCACAGCAAGCACACACACACAACACACACACACACACACAACACACACAACACACACCGCAACCACACCAACAACACACACACACCGATACACAACAAACACCACACACACACAACATATAACAAGGATAGATCGGGATAAATCGCTCCAGAGCGTTCCGGAGCGCTCTCAGAGCGTTCCGGAACGCTCTGGAGCGGCCGCGGCGCCCAATACATCCTCCAAGCCCGCCGATTCTCAGAGATTTCGAGTTATCCCGATCCGATTCTGTCCCGATCTTCGCGTCGTTCTAACACACACACACACACACCTTTCTGAGTGATGGGGGCTGGGCGCCATGCAGGGGGGGGGGCCCTGGCCCCGACAGCGCTCCCAGGATTGCCCAGGAGGCGCACGCGGCCACACGAGGCCCCGACAGGGCACCAAGGGGGCTCCAAGATGGGTCAGGGGGACGTAAGCCCTGGGTACAGGGGACTCGGAAATCCCCGACGAGGTCGTCAACAAAAATGACGAGGCCGAGCCTGCATTTTGACGAGGCCTCCCGCTGCAGACATCCCACGAAACTCCTCCTCGTCAAAATCCGAGGCGCGGTCGTGAAAAAATGCTGGCGAACCCGAGTCCTGGCAAACCCGGGTCTTACGCTCCCCCGAATGGGGCGGGAGGCTTGCAACACCTTGGGCCCCTCGGCAAAGGGACGCCTGTCCTGCGGGGGGATAGGCAAGTACCGATACCGCCGCACTGCCCGGACCTGGCCCGGGGTACGTTGCGACCAGAATTCCAGGGAGGACCCGACCGTGGCAGCGACGGCTCTCCAGGACAGGCAGCGGCATGGGTGCCTTCTCCCCCCCCCCCCCGAACCTTCCCTGAGATCCGACGCTGCGAACAAGACTGCAACACCTCGGGACGCGTCGACCCGAAGCCTATGGGCCCCATCTGCCTGCCGCACGCCTCGAGCCCGAGCGGTCTCCGATGGCCCCGGGGGGGGGGGGCTCCCGCACGAGGCAGCGCCGCCCGCGGCGAGGCAACTGCGCCGCCCGGGGTTCCGGGGTTTGGCACCCCCCACGGCGTCGGGCTCGGCGGCGGGGAGGGCGGGGGCTGCTGTTCTCAGCGCCCCACAAACGGGGACTCCACTAACGGGTACTTTGGCCAGTGACCCAGCGAACCCAGCCCTTCCCGATGTGGGCAAAGCTGCAATGCAAGAAAAAGGCCCTAAAGTGGCAACTTTCGGCAAAAAAGCAAAGTACCCGTTAGTAAGTACCCGTTACGGTGCCGTTGACATCGCTGGGACGTCCGTTCCCCGTGCGGTTGTTCGGTCTCGTGCGTGAATATTTGTGGGGGCCAGATGGTCCAGGAAGCTCCTCGAGGAGCCTCGCCGAAGAAAAAAGAGTGCACACGTCCGGGCGATGCCAGGACCATGAGCATGCCGCGGCGCGCGGCCGCGTGCCTCGTCTCGCATCGACGGCCACACGCGCGGGCGCGAGAGGGTGCAGCAGCTTTGGCTCCCCTCGGGGGCGACGACGGGGAGCGAACAGCCTCGGGGGAATGCAGCACGCGCCTCCGCGGCGGAGCCCCGCCGCAGACACGGCGCAGCGGCGCCCCCTGGAGACGCGCACGGCGGCGGCCAGCCCACAAGAAGCCTTCCACAAGAAGCCCAGCCCCGAGGCCCCAGGACCTCCATCGATCCCTCCTCCTCCTCCTCCTCCTCCTCCTCCTCCTCCTCCTCCTCCTCCTCCATCGATCCCTCGGCGTGGGAACGCCACGCTCTCCGCCGCAGAACCGCCGAGGCCCGACGAGGACCCCGGGGGCACCCCGGAGGCAGGCGCCGGGCGCCTCTCGCGGCACGGGCCCCCCCCACGCGCGCTTGCTGCCTCCCCCCCCCCCCCGGAGCTGCTCGCCCCCCTCGCCGCCTCCCGCTCCCGCAGGGGTCCTCCACGGCGTCAGGCTCGGCGGCGGCGGCGTGGGCGGGGGCGGGGGCTGGTGCCCTCCGCCCCCGCCCCCGCCGTAGCCGCCCGGCGGGGGCACGTACATGCCCTTGCCCGAGGGCGGCCCGCCGCCTCCGCCGCCGCCGCCCGGGTCCTGCCCGAACTTGCCCTGGTTCTTCGCCAGCATCACCTCGCAGGCCTTGTCTGCGCCTGCGTGGGGGGGCAGAGCGCCTCTCCCCCACAGTTGAGAGCGCCCCGACGAGCGAAGCCGTCGAGGAGACGCGCCCGAGGATGGAATCGAACAGGGCAGGGCTGGCCGGCAGGGCCGTTTGGTGAGCGCCACTTGTGGGGGTCGGGGTGGTGTTTCATCCCTCCACTTCGCGCGCGCATGAGCGGCGAACAGAAAGGTCGTCTCGTGCGAGAAGACGTAGAGACCCTACGCCGCAGCTTGTGCGGGCCGCCAGCGCGGCCCTTCGCACTGAAGACGAGGGCGCTGGCGCGCGACCTCACGCGAGCAACTTACGCGCCAATGTCGGCGCAGACGACACCGTGTTTTTTTGGCGTAACTCAGATGCGAGCAAAGCAGATGGCAAACGTGAGCATAAACCGTTCGGAGCTCCACGTGGAGTTCTTGGATCGGCGCGGGAGCCACCCTCTTAGGCAGCAACTACTGGGAGGTCTTCGTCCGAAGGGTTAAAAATATTGAGCCTCATTGGGGGGCTGATACGCCGGAAAGGGCCCCGGATTAGGCGGGATTAAGTCGGACTGAGCGGGATTAAGCGGGATTAAGCCGGATTAAGCGGGAACGAAGCGGATCAAGCCGGACTTCGGACCAGGGCTAAATCAGAATCTGACCTCCCAGGAATTGCATCCGAACCCTCTCCCCTGTCGCGCGGCACCAGGGGCGGCGCCGGAGGCGCCGCCGAGGGCGCCCAGCGCGAGCGGCCCACACGAGCCCGCGAGTGGGGCCGGCCCGCCCTCCAGGCCCAGGCGGCTGGCGCTGCGCACGAGCAGCACCCTCCCCCCCCCGTCCCCTACCCCTCCTCCTCCTCGCCCTCCTCCTCCTCCTCCTCCTCCTCCTCCTCCTCCTCCTCCTCCTCCTCCTCCTCCTCCTCCTCCTCCTCCCCCCTTGGCAGAAGGCCAACCCCCTCGCCCCTCGCCCCCTTCTGCGCGCCGCCCCATCGGCGCATCGCCCCTCGCTCTCGCCCTCGCCATCGCCCCTCGCTCTCGGCCCTCGCCCTCAAAGGCCCCTAGGAGAGGTCGCGCTCCGCGCTGCGCGAGAGCGCGAAGCACCTCCGCGCTCCCTCGCCCTTCGCCGCGCTCCCTCGCCCTTCGTCCTTCGCCCCCTTCCGCGCGCCGCTCCGCCTGGGAACGTGAGGATCCGGTCCGTGGCGTCCTTCGCCTGCTGTGCCTGCTCGCCTGCGGCGAAGGTGACGAAAGCCCAGTTGCGGCCCGGCTCGCAGGGCTTGCTGTTGATGAAGACATCGACAACCTGGCAGGACGGAGCCGAATCGAACCGCGAGATCGGATCGGATCGGAAACGGACCGCATCGGCAGCGAGTCGAGATCGCATCGCCGAGTCCGGCTCCAGTTGGCCCTGACCGATGCCAGCGAATCGAATCGCATCGAATCAGATCGCAGGCGGCCTTGCCTGGGTGCGGGGCGACAGCGGGGGGACGAGCAGCGTTGCCTTTCGGACGTGGGCTGGACTCAAGCGCTAACTCCCAGGCAGCAACAGGGCCAAACGAGGGCCACGATTAGCGTTGACCAGCACAAGCAAGAACCCTTGAACCCCCCGGCAACGGAGACGTCCAGGAGACCACCCCTCAAACCTTGTCCTCCTCATCCTGGTACGTCCCCTCCGTCCCTGCCTATTCCCTCCAAAAGGATGACTTCAAGAGGCCCTCGAAGAGCTCCCCAGAGGCTTCCAGGAGGCTCCCGGGAGGCCCTCGAGAGGTCGCCTGGGAGGCCCTCAAGAGGCTCCAGAGTGGCCCCTGAGAGAGCCCCAAGATGCTCACATCCTGAGAAATCGCGGTCGCGCCCACAACCGGCGGCGAGCGAGGGGGGAAGTGAGAAGGAGGCCTTCTCAGAAGGCGGCGGGGCTTCTCAGAAGCCCTCAGGCCTTCTGAGAAATTTTCTATGTCTTCGGGGAAGGCTTAGAAAACTTCTCGAAAGGCCTGAGGCCTTCCGAGCCTTCTGGAAAAGGCCAGCAACTTCTCCCTTCCCCCTCCAGGTTCGCCGCCGCCGACACAACCCAAGCAATGGTTTCCCAGCGCGGGGGGGGAGAGACGCCTGGCCGTACTTCGAGAACTCCGACCCTAACGTCGCGTCCGTGATGCTCTGCGGCAGGGAGCCCACGAAGATCTTCCTGGGACCCTCCTGGGGAGAGGGCTGGGCGGGGGGCGGGGAAAGGAACGGATGGGAGGAGAGAGTGGAGGGAGGCAGGGAAGGACGGGTGCGCTCAGGGGGGAAGCTGTGTGGTTCTCGTCCGCCATTGCACCGCACCTCTGTCATCCCTCTCGCCACCGGCTGCTGTTGCCCGAGGCGAGCTGCCGATTCTGCCTGCACGCTCGGCGTTCGGGCCTGCTGACCCTCCTCCTTCTTCTACTCGTCCGCCTCCCCCCCTGTTCCTCCTCCCCCTCCTCCTCCTCCTCCTCCTTTTCCTCCTCATCTTCCTCTTCCGCCTCCTCCTCCTGCTCCTGCTCCTGCTCCTCCTCCTCCTCCTCCTCCTGAAACTGAAGGATGGGCGGGTGAAAAGGAGCAAAGCAGACTTGAAAGCCAAGCAGAGGAGAAGAGGATGCTGCCTTGAAAGCTGAGCAGCCGGGCCGTGTCGCGAAGAAGCGGATCGAAACAATTAAGGGAAACGTCTCCTGTTGATTACACACGCGCCCCGTCGGACTCACACGCCGAAGCCTGACCGTCGCCCAGAACGGGTCGAAATCATGAACAAGCCGATCATAATCGGAACATGTAGCAAACAATGAACACCACTCCCTTTACACATGTTTGTATTATATATGTATATGCGCACGCTTGTCTGTAGATGGGGCAACCATCGGGAACCGATACCGCTACTCCTGTGACCTCGGTTCTGACCAGAATGTCGGAGCGAATCCAGCGGTGGCAACGAGGGCCTCCCAGGAGGCCCCAAAGGCGAAAACGAGGCAAGGGCAGCGGGCGGTACGGTTCGGGTACCTTTTCCTCCTCTTGGCACGTCTATGACATATATATATATATGTATATATACACATACCTACATACCTACATACCTATATAGTTACCTACATACCTACATGCCTATATACCTACCTACCTACATGCATGCATACATGCATGCATGCATGCATGCATGCATACATACTTACATACATACATACATATATACATACATATATACATACATATGGTCGCCCCCCCTCCTATGATCTACCTAAGCCTCTTTGCGGCCTTAACTTCCACTCGGAAGCCCTCGGGGTTGGGCCTTGACTTCCACTCTCGGGGGCACTCGGGGGAGCGGGACGGAGGGAGGGCGGGAGAGCGGGAGAGCGGGAAGAGCGGGAGAGCGGGAGAGCGGGAGAGCGGGAGAGCGGGAGAGGAGAGCGGGAGGGGCGGGAGCGGGAGGCGGGAGCGGGAGAGGCGGAGAGCGGGGAGAGCGGGAAGCGGAGCGGAGGCGGGAAGAGGAGAGCGGAGAGGCGGGAGAGCGGAGAGAGAGCGGGAGACCGGGAGAGCGGAGGGCGGAGAGCGAGGAAGAAGGGAGAGAGCGGGAGAGCGGGAGAGCGGGAGAGCGGGAGAGCGGTAGCGGGAGAGCGGGAGAGCGGGAGAGCGGGAGAGCGGGAGAGCGGGAGGGCGGGAGAGCGGGAGAGCGGGAGAGTGGCCATCCAGGCCCGGGCCATTCCGTCCCGGGGCCTCTCGGGCCACCCGTGCCACCCAGGAAGCCCAGTTGGCGCGTTCTCGCTCTCCCGCTCTCCCGCTCTCCCGCCCTCCCGCTCTCCCGCTCTCCCGGTCTCCCGCCCTCCCGCTCTCCCGCTCTCCCGCTCTCCCGCTCTCCCGCTCCCGCTCCCGCTCTCCCGCTCTCCCGCTCTCCCGCTCTCCCGCTCTCCCTCTCCCGCTCTCCCGCGCTCTCCCGCTCTCCCGCTCTCCCCGCTCTCCCGCGCTCCCCGCTCTCCCGCTCTCCCGCTCTCCCGCTCTCCCGCTCCCGCTCCCGCTCTCCCGCTCTCCCGCTCTCCCGCTCTCCCGCTCCCCTGCTCTCCCGCTCTCCCGCTCTCCCGCTCTCCCGCTCTCCCGCTCTCCCGCTCTCCCGCTCTCCCGCTCTCCCGCTCTCCCGCTCTCCGCCCTCCCGCCCTTCCGCACTCCCGCTCTCCCGCTCCTCGACTCTCTCATTCTCCCGTTCTGCCGCTCCAGGCCCGAAGAGATGAGGAGGAGGAGGAGGAGGAGGAATGGCGGATGGGGGGAGGAGGAGGAGGAGGAGGAGAGGTAGGAGGAAGGGCAAGGAGGAGGAGGAGGAGGAGGAGAAGGAGCGATCAGGAGCGATCAGATGAAAGGACAGCGTACGTCCACAAACGGCGCCATGGCCTTCGGTGACCTGGCCCGCTTGAGGGTTAAAACTGAGGCCTCAGTTTTCGCCCTCGTCGTCGTCCTCCTCCTCCTCCGCACTCCTCCTCTTGCTTCTCCTCCTCCTCCCACTCCCCCAGGGTCCCGGCTTGACCATGGCGAGGTCCTGCCTTCTGTAAAGTGCGCCGGTCTTTTTAGGACGGATCGGTGCGCCTCAGACTACGTCCAGTCCTCCTGAAGAGGAAGCGGCGGAGGAGAATGAGGAGGAGCAGGAGTAGGAGGATCAGAAGAAGAGGATGCGGAGGAGGAGGCGCAGAAGGAGTTGGAGGCATATGAAAAGTAATCGGAGGATAATGAGGAAGAGGGGGAGGCGGAGGAAGAGGAGCTGGTAGAGGAGGAGGTGCAGGAAGAGAAGACGGATGAGGAGGGAGCGGAGGAGGAATCAGGAAGAGGAGGAGGAGCAGCAGCAGCAGAGGTGAGGAGGAGGAGCAGGAGGTGGAGTGAGGAGGAGGAGGAGGATTAGCAGCAGGAGGAGGAGAACGTTGAGTGAGCTTTCATTATCTGCCCTCCCCCTCCTCCTCATCCTTCCTTTCCTCTCCTTGCCTCCTCTCCACTTCCTCCTTCTCCTCAAATCTTAGTTCTACCTTCTACCAACGCCGCTGCATTTGGCTCAAGGCTCCGGACTACCTGAGCGGATCCCGCATTCAGTCACTATGGTCAACGCTTGCCAAAGCGGCACGTGCCATTGGCGAGAGGACGGCAATGCGCGCACCGTCAAACACGCAGGATCCATCTGCATCCTGTGCGAGAACCCGCAGACCGTCGAGAACCACGCCGACCGCAAGCGCCGCAAGTTGATCCAATTTTTGCGAGAGCTGGACGCACCCTTCCGGAAAACCTGGCTTGACAGGACGCTGCCCGAGCTCTCTCCAGGCCTGGGAAGCGAACAAAGCATTAATTTCAACCGTAACAACATGCTTGAATCATTGCCATTTTTATATTCCCATACTCGGAGGCCCTCCGACGACCTAACAGCAGTACCATTCTGAGTCTGAGCGTCAGCTGAGTGCTCAGTTGTCGTTTTAACGAGAGCGTAGCGGTGATTCATACACGTTGTTAATATTTTTAACGACTTCGCACAACAAAAAAACTTCGCTTGCTTCCCAATTCCAGACACAGCCACCGCCATCCTGCGCTCGCTGAACATGCTCACGGAGCTGAGGACTACCCCAACCTCCGACGGCCAGCGAGCCGAAACGGTGGCGCCGCCTGCTCCTGCGGCGTCCGAGGCGTCGTCAGTTGCGGCGTCGAGTCCCGCGCCCGCATTCTTGGCCGCGGGAGTACGGAAAATGCCCCATGTATTCAACGATGACATGCGATCTTGTTTTACTGGCGCATAGACAGTAGGGATGGCCAGGGGGGTCGGGGGCGGGGACGGATGTGATCGCAGTTGAATATTTTGCTTTTTCCCAGTTCCCCCAGGCTAACCCTGGCGACGACGCTGACGCGGCGCCGGCTCCGACGATGCTGGCGCAGGTGTCTGGAGTGCCTGCCATCCCAAACGACAGGATGTTGAACCAAGGTCGTTTTCCCTTGTGCACCCTGAACGCGCTCGCCGTGGCGGCGTCGTCGTCGTTGGGCGCCAAGTTCGAGATCAGCATCGAGGCTAGCAGGATATACCAGGGCATGCTCGCCAGCCACCACCTGAACGCGGAGTGGCCGCCGGACGCCGCGCGCAGCGTGGGCAGCATTCGGATCCAGACCTCTGACCACGTGTATGAGATGAGTTTCGTGCTCCGGGAGTGCATTTCTTTCTCAACAACGCCGTGGCAAGTGGACAAGTGCGCCGGGTGGCGCCCGATCGTCATCGTGGCGGCCACGGAGGGCCCTGCCGACGAGCGCGGAAGGCGGCCGTCCCATTCCATGGTTGCTTTCAGGTGGAATCGGAGCCAGCGGAAGATCCAGTGCGTGAACAGCTGGGGAGACGAGATGCAACCTTTCCCTTTGGTCGGATCTGATGCGTTCGGCAAGGCGTACTTCGTGGACACGCTGATCCACCGGGTATTCGTGCCCGGCCCTGGGAAGAACGTCGTGGAAAGCAATGTGCCCGCTGAAACTGGCGAGTGGCATTGGATGTTTCCGAGGTTTTGGCCTCTGTGTTAATTAGGGCACCTGCCCTCTTCAGTATCTCCTCCTCGTGTTGTTTTCCCCTCTTCCTTCCTTCTTCGCCGCCCTCCTCCTCCACATGAGCCTCCTTCTCCTTTTCCTCCTCCCCCTTCTCTTGTGATCGTTGCATGCCGCCGGTCTTGTTGGTCTTTAAGAGATCAAGCAACAAGCGCCATTCTGTTTCCTGCCAGACCAGTGAAAAAACTTGGAAGTGCCAGAGGAAGAGGTCACTGCAGAACACCGCAGCAAATCGCAGGCCACCGCAGGACAGCACAAGGCACTACTTGACACCACAGGACACCACGGGACACCACAGGACACCGCAGAACACCAAAGGACACCACAGGACACCACAGGACACCACAGAACACTACAGGACACCACAGGACACCGCAGGCCACCACAGGACACCGCAAGACACCACAAGCAACCACAGGCCAGCACAGGCCACCACAGGACACCGCGAGCCACTGCATCAAACCGCAGGACGCCGCAGGACACCACAGGACACCGCAAGACACCACAGAAAAAGAAAGGACACCACAGGATGCTACAGGATACCACAGAACACAGGACATCACAAGACACCACAGGACACCACAGGACACCACAGGACACCACAGGACACCACAGGACACCACAAGACACCACAGGACACCACAGGACACCACAGG